CATAAGAAATATTATAGATGCAACTCCTGGCATTGCATTTATACAAAGATTACATACAGTAGTTCAGATATCTTGTGAGGACAAAGCCCAACCAGGAAATACTTTATGACTGCAATTAATTTAAAGAAACTCAGGATCATCATCATGAGGCAGGTTCTTTGCAGAATGTCACTCTCATTACAGTTTGCCTGAAAGAAACTTGGTCTCTTGCCAGAACTCCCAACTCATGCACTTTTCTACTCAATATGTTGCTTATACTCTGTGCCCATCTTCCTGCTGGTCAGTCCCTGCAGCTTTCCTGACACCATACCTTTTGCTACTATTCTTTCCAATCTACTATAGTGCTTGATATGGCCAAAATACAGTAAAAAACAGGTTACGGTAGAAAAATATAGCAAACTTAAGAAGGCTAACAAGGAAATAACCTGATAACATCATGTTGTATGTAATGTATCCTTCCAATATCCTCCCCCACCATTAACAACAATTCACTTCCCAACTGCAGTAACCGCTATAGGACTATCCGTCTGCTAATGAGAGCTTTCATTTAACAGCAGTATAAAACCTATACAGTAAACTGATATAAATAAGTTACCTGCAGAGGATTCCAGCTATCCCCAGAATTCATCACCATAACTCGGTTCTGGGCTGGCTGACAGACGTAAATGAACTCGGACCCTACTTTCACAGCTTCTCCCCACTGACAATCCTTTCCTTTACTGCAAAGAGTTAAAGGACTGTCTAAGGCTTCAGGGATAAACTTGAAGTTACTAAAGTCAGCAGGAACTTGATGTCTCAGCAGACATCTCAAAGGATCATAAGCAGAAATGCCTTTAGAGTGAAACACTACAAATGTGCCAGACTCTTTCGGTGATTCTTTTGCTGAAAAATTAAAGCAGAAATATTATTGTTGGTATTTTGTTATTAATAATAAATAAGTTAGGAAAGTGAATGTTTTATGTATATAAGAATCATATTATGTTTAATTACATGGAAAAGTCAGTGCCAAAGTATAAACAGCAGTAGATGCTTGATTTTTTTGATGAATGTACACATTTTACAGAACTAAAATGTTACAAAAAAGAATAAAGCATGGGTCAACGTGCAGTTTCTTCCTACTGTATAGTATAAACATCAGAAATGAGCATTAAAAAACATGTGCACAAGAAAAATAAAACAGCTGTGTCAGAATCATAATGAGTGAAGAAAGACAGGATGAAAGATAATTTTTGAAATATAACTGGTATAGGATAGAAACAGTACAACTTCATAACAAATACATCACTGTGTGGGTTCCAAGGGCCCAATTTGGGTGGAAAAAACAGATCCACTTCTTTCCAAACAAACATGTAAGAAAAGTCAACTAGCTAAGGGTGTATTTTTTTCAAGATCAGATTGCACCTGCCCAAGATACGCGGAATCAACAGTCTGCATAAAAATTGTAAAAATGGTTGCAATGAGCATATGGTGACAACTCCACATTATTAATGATCAATGATGGTTGAATGTTGAATTAGGAATCTTCATCACAGCACTCCTGGAACTCCCATAAGAGCTCCATCCCCACCTTCAGCAGCAAGCAAAGAGTTTTATTGAAGATCTGTCATGCCCTTCCCAGAGTGTTGAGCGTTGGCCAGATCCCCTGGTGACCACACACAGGGCCATTCTCCTCAGACCATAATGATCTATCTTTGCCTCAGCACAGTTCACTGGCTCCCAAAGGGCCCTAACAATATCTAGCTTGTCATACTTCAATTCACCACCAAGTGGTGCAGAGCCAGCCAGTCTATCTGCCTGCTCATTTCCCAAAACACCGGCATGACCTGGAGAGACTGTGGTCAATACCATGTCAACTAATTTAGCTTTCTCAGAATGTTTCCTGGTACACATTTTAGGTTTGGTCAACCTCGGACCTGGAGTCAAGGTAAATATAAAAAAAAAGTTTCAAAATGGATTTAAACTTTTGACCAGCAAAATGTCAAGCAAGCATGCTAGCTACATCTCTATTACAGCTTCCATGCAACTATCATCATATTAAAAATACACTATATATTCTTCTCCTTCTTCTTTACTTATGTTTTTTTTTACCACAGTGGGTGTTGAGAGAGATATAGCTTTATTTATTTTGTTGTTGCCACCTTGAACAGTCACACTTTGCTGTAGTAAAGTTTCTCTGATGTTATCTTTCCCTCTTGTTCTATGTCAACAGAAGAAAAAAACTACTTACAAGTAGAAACAGATGGAGGCAATATGTGAACAGCAACAGACTTCTCAGTGGTTCCAGCTTGACTGTGTGCACTGCATGTGTATGTACCAGCGTCAGTGTCAAACTTTGCATTGTGGATGACAATATGACCTCCTCCATCTGTAATCAAATAACATTAATTTACTTACATTTCTTATATTTTTACCTGAGGCATCAGTAGAATTCTTAAAATTTATTGATTAGCCAAAATGAGATTATCTAGAAATTTTGTAAAAGAGTAGGCAAAGACGTAAAGACAACCGATCTCAAACATAATTTCTGGACCGTATTATGTGAAGAAAAAAACTGGAATATATGAAAAAATTATGGGAAAATTCAGAGAAGGCAAGATAATATTCATGATAGCCCTGGGTCAAGACATTTTTGGAATAAAAAATTCTTTAAAAATTATGCTGGAAAAGACATAACAACAAATCTAATGTGTGCTTTAGGGGACAGAATCAGCTGATCTAAAAGTTAAAGCTTTTCAGCAGTAAATATTGATTAAAAAAAAAAAGCAATTACTAATTTCAGAAATGGAGACATCCTACAAAAAAAATTTTATTAAGGAAATTAGTGGGGTAAAAATGCACCTAAAGAATTAATTATATACAGGAGTGAATTGTATGGTTACATGATTATAAATTGTAATTATTAAAATAAAAAGTAAAGGTCATTTTCCAACGCCCTTAGGCATATTGGGCATATAAAGATAGGCCTATATTTTTATAGACCAATCGGCACTTCGTGGGTGATGTGGTCAGCAGGACTGCACCTGGTACCTACTTAAGACTGGGTCAACCTGGGAGTCAAAATCATTTTTTTTAAAAAGTCTGGCTCCGTCAGGACTCGAACCCACAATCTTTCGATCCGCAGGCGGGCGTCTAGCCACCAATGCCACAGCGTCTCCCAAATTATAATTATTAATTTCTTTAATTTAGTTATTAAAATATAAATTCCAAATAATAAATAATTACATAGAGCTGTGAATGATAAAGAGACATGAAAAAAAGAATCGGTTCATCATCAAAGTCAAATAAGAAATAATGACAGGCAACAATGAACAGGAGGGAGCTATAAAATAAAACATTTACTTACAGTAGTGGGTTGTATGGGGAGAGTTCTGCAGGGCTTTCCCAGCCAGTTTCCATGTAATGACAGGCTTGGGCACCCCTTCAGCATGGCACTTCAGTTCAACATCTGATCCTGTCATGTGAGTCTGAACAACAGGCATTACCTCAACAATTGGCAAAGCTGAGGAGAGAAATCAGGCAGTGTTAATAAGGTTTTTAGTAAAATAGAGACAGCTGTCTTGATACTTCAGTCTTAAAATACTTGATGAATCTACTTACAAACATCCAAGGTGGATTTATCAGGCAAGAATGGATTGCAACACTAAGCACTTCACGAATATCTGCCCTAATCTTTATCTTTGTGCCAGGTTATGCGTGTGTTCAAGGGAACGAGCTTGCAGACTATCTTGCTGACACTGCGGTTGCTATGGCTGCTCCATTACTGGACAGAAGTGATGTTATCAATGCCATGCACTACACTTACCGTACTGAGGAGCACGCCAAAGGACATAGCTCCGTGTCCCTGTCTAGACTGATGGACATGGGGGTGCAGTCTGGAGCTGCAAGTAATTAACATTTCACTAAGGGAATAAGACGTTTCATTAACCAACACAGAACAGGCGTCATCAGTCGTTTTACACTCACAGAGCTTTTGAGATCGGAGCACATATTGATCTGTCAGGAGTGCTGTGATGATAATCCTTTTTAATCACTAATCAGTCTTATAATTTAAACATAATGGACCCTGTTTTCTGTAAAAATCAGTGGGTTTCCATTAGGTGCTGCAAACTGATGTTTCGTGAGTAACAGTCATTGCCTCAATTTTAGGAAAAACTAAGAGGATACTGAGGAAGTGCTGAAGATTTTTAGTGACCAAATTTTGCATTCTTGGTACATTAATGTCTTAATTAAAAAAAAAAGTTAATTTAGCTTTTTTCTCTATAAGTGTATGGGTTTTGATCAAATGCGGTTAATTTTTAGTGTGTTATTAGGAAGTCATGCATGAAGCACATCAGGCATCTTGTATTAGAACATTAGATCCATATTTTGATAGATCAAATTGGCACTTGATTCTCAATGTTGTTTACATGACACCAGCAACTTTTACTTCCTATGGCATTTCTTGGTACCTATTTAAGGCTGGGTTGACCAGCTGCAGTTGTAGTGTGTTATTGGAAATCAATATGCCTTAATATGAATTAAAACTCAAATTGGTAGTGAACTGATGTGTGACTAGCTAGATGTTGTGAGGGCCCATGGGGAGCAAGTGAACAGTGCAGAGGCACAAACAGATCATTACCGTCTGAGGAGAACGACGCTGCGAAGAGTTACCAGAGAATCTGGCCGATGCTCAACACTGAAGGGAAAGACAAGACTGATATACAATCAAACAGCTACTGGTGCTGTCGGAATCGGAATGCTTCACCTGCTGTTGAAGATGGGGGACGGAGCACTTATGGGAGTGTCCTGTGTGTTATGATGTTGATTCTTAATTCAATAATTCAACATCCAACATTTAAACATTTGCTGTAGGAGACAGCATCTATGCCCAGTATGCTAAGATACTGATTCTTTATTCAGTAATTAACAGGTTAAACTCAGCATGCAGTAAATACAACATGAAGCTCAATCCAAACAAAACCGAAACAATGCAAGTTAGTAGAATCCCTGGCCCACTCCACACACAGCTGAATGGTTCTGGTCTGAATCAGGTTAGGGAGTTAAAATATCTAGGGAGCATGATCAGGGAAGATGGTAGAATTGACAGAAAAACAGAAACCAGATGTCAGAAAGCAAGTGCACTTATATACCAGTTGTCACCATTATTAAGACATCCAAGCATAACTATGAGTGCAAAGAGAGATTATAAACAGCATATTCATTCCAACATTAAGCTACCAGTGCCAAACATGGACACTACATAAAGCCCATATACGTAAAATCACCAACTGCTAGATGAGATGCCTGATAAAAGAAGCCAACCTAACCATTCGAGATCAAATGAATAATGATACTATCAGGCAAATTGTGGGAACGACACATACTAAATTCATCGAGAAACAGTGGATCAAGTGGTTCAGCCATCATGTTAGAATGCAGCATGATCAAATACCATCACAAGCACTACATCTCAGAAGATCAGCAACAAGAGCAAGAACTCTATGCCTTCACAGTATGACAATAGCCAGTGGCAGCCAGTGTGAACTGGATCGCAAAATATACCTCCCCAAACTCTTAATGGCCGAAGTGGCTTATGATGATGATGATGAATCTGCAATAAGTAATTATAGCACATGTAATGACCAAACCAGGTCCTATTCTGGTTTTGTCTGCAGTCAATAGGAAAAAAATAAGAAAAAAAAAAAAAGAACAGAAAGTAAAAATACAAACTTAGACTGAACCATAAACTTACACTGAACTCTGAGTCGATGTATCTGGGCTTTAGACTCATCACTGGCATCCATACAAGTGTAGTTGCCGATGTGGTGAAGACCGACTGTGCTGAAGAACAATGCTCCATCATCAAACACCTGTAGCAGAAGCAAGAATTTTGTCATCTGAATGAATGCACACAAATATATCAACTGTATTTATAGTGTTGGACTGTTTATGTTGTCCATTCTGATGGCTGCCTTATGCATTTAATGCATGTGTAGACTTTTGAATTCACTAAAACTGCAGTCTCTGTTGAATTTTCCACAAGAGACAGTGATGGATATTAATAATGCTCACATTTAATCAGAATGCTGCTGGCACCATTAGTATCAGGACTCTTTGCTGGATGCTGAAGATGGGGATGGAGGGCTTATGGGAATGCCCCGAGTGCTGTAATGTCAGTTCTTGAATTAAATCACTCAAGAATAGAGCAACTATGGGATGACCCATTTGCTTTGAAGACAAAACTGCTGTTGCCTGATTACCTTACTAGATTACAAAACACTTTCTGGTTCAGTAGCTATGAAAAACAGTTTTCATCAATATTTTATGTTATCAGTGCCAAACATGGACAATAAACAGAGCACTAGAACAGAAAATAACTACATGTGAAATGCGCGGTCTCCACAAGGGCATTAATAACACAAGACGAGACAGGGTTATGAATGCCAGCATTAGAGAGAAAGCTGGAGTAAGATCATGGCTGGATTATATTGGCAGACAAAGAATGAAATGGTTCAGCCATCTAGTGAGAATGCAGCCAGACCAAACTACACATGAGTATTTATACAGACAGAACATCTTAGAGGAAGGCAAGAGGAAGACCAGGAAAGAAATGGATAAATGGTGTTGCTGAAACCTGCAAAAAAAAGATGAACAAATCCATTACCCTAGCCACCCGAGGAGTGCAAGACAAATACAGAAAACCATGACATTGGGCTACAACCTGGTATCAATGAGATGACAGAAGAAAAAGAAAAAGGAGAAGAAGAAGAAGAAGAATTTATGAGTTCTCCACCATATGTGATGAAGAGGTATACGAGTTCTCCACAAAAGTGTTTCATGAGTTTATGAGTTATCCATTATATGTGAAGCAGAGGTATATGAGTTATCCACCATATGTGAAGCAAAGGTATATGAGTTTTCCACAATATGTGATGCAGAGGTATTTGAGTTATCCATCAAATGTGATGCAGAGAAGCTGACCAGGGCTCATACAGATATATATATATATCTTCCTGTGACCATCCTAAAAAGAGGTTCTCTACTGATGGCCTGGACAATGTAGAGTGAATCAACACTTCCTTTAAAGTCAGAGTGAATCTGCATCGAAAGGCAAGGAGCCAACAGTCTGCACACAAATAAACCATATTAGAAAAAGGATGTACATGCAAAACTCAAGTCCTGGGATAGGATCAAAGTCAAGAAGTGGGTACAATGAGTTATAGATAACATTGCTATACACTAACACTGCTTAAAGTGTTCTACTTGATGACAAGCAAAATGTAATTACAGTCAGCAGAAACCTCAGGGAGCCACCATAATTTTGAAACTGTATCAGAGTGGTCAAATGACCTTGTACACATCACACTGTTACCTTACCCCCTGCCTGCCACACCCCGACTATTATAACATAAATACAACTGCAGTTACCATGAGTTGGTGGCTACGTTTGTCATCTGAGAGTTGTGCACCATGTCGTTTCCAGATGATAGTTGCAGCATCTATTCCACACTTTAGTTCCAAACCATTCCCTGCAGATGCCAGGGTTGGTATCACCTCAATCTGTACATGAGGGGGTGTGGTTGGAACAGGCATTTCTGTTAGACAAAACAAAAGTTGTACAGATTAAGGGAGCAAGTTAATGATAATGCAGCTGCCAGAAGTGCCAACACCTACAGTTTGTCACTAGAATTGCTATTCACAGTTGATTGAAGCAGCAGCAGTCATGACAAACCAGAAATGCACATGCATTACTGCATAAGGCACACTACCAATTCTGTAGTAACCGGCCCCTCGCCATTTTCTCAACAGGCACTTTACAATGCACACATCTGGCAGCACACACAATAAGCATTACCATGAAATTCACAGCCGACAGTGTTGTACCATGCATTCAACTCAGTAGCTTGCCAAATAGGCCAGATTTGTACTCATTTGTTGTCTCATCCAGTTTTTCTACTGAGGGATGAAACCCCAGTCTTCCTCAGCACAACTAAAACAATAATTTCTCCCTTAAAAACCATTTGAATATAACTCTTAATACCAGGCAACTACCCACACATTTAATGATTACTCTATACATCGTATATTTTGGTTGTCTTCTCTCTCTAGTTCTTATGACACATTTATCTTTTTCTATAGCAGTGACTATTTTAACTCATCCTATTCTATATTTCTACAGTGTTAGTTCACTAAAATTCCAAGACAGTTGTTCTAAATATTTTAAATCCTGATTAAGATAGTGAGGAAGTGTCTGATCCTAAAAGAGTTAAACAATAAATGATACCATTAAAATAAAATGTTACAATGCATTTTAGACATGGATAAAAGATATTTCAAGACAACTGAGCTGAGTAAATAACAGACATCACAGCACTTGGGTTACTTCCATCGGCATTCCATTCCCATCTTAAGTAGCCAGCACAATTCCAACGTTTCCAGTAGCAGTCACATTGTATGTACATCTTGCCTTTCCTCTGAGTGCTGAGCATCAACCAGATCTCCTAGTCAAACCCTGCTGCACCATTTTCTTGAGACTGTGATGGTCTGCAAACAACCAGAACCTTCTGCCAGTGAATGCGAAGAAGAAGATTTTATTACCAGGTGGAGCAGAACCAGCCAATCTGTCTGCCTGTTTTTTTTCCAAAACACCTACTTGCCCTAGAGAAAATAATTCAGTATTTCAAGAAAATGTTACATGAACGGAGGGTAAAGAACATAAAGGGTAAAAATAATTTCTCATACCAAAAGCAATCTGTCTGCCTGTTTACTTCCCAAAACACCTACTTACCCTAGAGAAAATAATCCAATATTTCAAGAAAATGTTAAATGAATGGACTGTAAATAACTTGAAAGCTAAAAATAATTTCTCATACCGAAAGCACTGGTGAACTCTGACACAGTGAGCTTGCCATCAGTCTCCAAATTGTCAGCATACTTGATAAAGTCATGAAGGTGACAGTTGTGGATAATATTCTTGCCAAAATGTTCATCTCTTTCTTTATCGTCCAATTCTTTGACTGTGAGATAGTAGTCATAGTCTCTGTCACAATAACTGAATACCAGCATTGACAGGTATTCACGATCTGCAAGTAAACACCAAAGTCAGTTATGGCTGTTCAGATACCAACAGTAAAATAAACATTCTTATACGAGAGTAAGTTTAGTGAGCTAAATTAAGAATTGACATTACAGCATTGGGTATATTTCCATAAGCACTCTGCCCTCATCTTCAGCAGCCAGTGAAGGGTTATAATTCTGATGGTACCAAGTAAGTAAAAAAGGAAAGAACCCTTTCCATGCCATTGGTGCCTTCAGAGTATGGTGGTAGATCCACAGTTGTATCTACTTTACCAGCAGTGAGGATGTGGTCACTGTACTTTTACATTACAGAATACCATAATGTGAAAAAAAAAAAAAAAGAAATTACTAAATCAGATACCTAAAAAATATTACAAATCATTACAATAAGTAACAACCTCTCCTTCTTATAGTCAATGCCATGTGGTGTTGATAGTCATGTCTATCCATAACCTTCTGTCTTGTGTACTTTTAATCACTTGTAACACAGATGATCTTCCATGCCATGTGGTGTTGATAGTCATGTCTATCCATAACCTTCTGTCTTGTGTACTTTTAATCACTTGTAACACAGATGATCTTCCATGCCATGATGTCAAAATGTCCAGCATTTTCTCTGTGTGTCTCCCTCTACCTCTTTCCATCTAGCTTTTCCATCATCACAATTAACTCCAGTTTTCTCTTTCTTTTCATGACATGATCAAAGAATGTAGATTGTCTCCTCCTAATGTGGGTGATCAGGTCTCTTCATGTGTCATTTTCTTTCAAGACATCATACCTATTTTTATCTCGCTAGAGTTTTCTTCTACTGAACATAAAATTTGCCTAGAAAAAAACACACAACAGCTAAATAATGAAGGGGGTTGGCTCTGCAATGCCATGTTTTCTTAGTCATGGTATAGAGGGGTGTCAACACATGAACTGATGCTTACAGTTGCAGACTGTGGAGAGGCATGATCACCCAAACCAGTCGGTAAGGTACTTGATGACGATGATGATGAGGGTATTTTTATCATTCGTCTATAAAACCACATCTCCATCACTTCTATTTAACTTTTCACTAATTAGCCAACTGTTCATGATTAAAAGCAACAACATAACAAATAATAACAAAAATAAATAAATAAATTACCAACCAGTTTTGACTTCCAATTTACAGTTTGGTTCAGCAAATTTCTGACAATAGAACATGAGAAGAGCTTCCTTAAATTCACCCATCTCCTTCCAGGTGCACTCTTTCTTGTCATTTGTCACAGTCGCTGGTGTTGTTGCCTTTTCTGTCACAGTAGAAATTTTCTCTTCCGTTGGTGGATGTACTGTTTTGAGATCACTTAAGGATTGGTCTATCATTTGGATAAGCCAGGAATAAATAGATGCATGTTTATCATGTAAAAGTATATTAAGAAGAAAATCATTGTTTTCCCCATTGTAAATTTGAACAAAGAAGACAATTTATTGCCTGGCATATTTTGCTGTATCTTCTAAGGTGCATACCACAGTAAAATCACACAGATTAAGGAAATAAGTCAACCCTTAATAACTGAAGTACACATTCAACAACTGTCAAATGCAACTGCCTGTTTTACCAGGGTGTCAGCATCATGCATTTTTTGTTTACAAAGTTCAGGGTTAAGGTAATGAATGTCCAAGTCCATTTGAGAAAACAGTTTAAGGGTCGACCACTTTTGGTAATTGGCGGCGGCTGCCCTGGTATGCAACATTTGATTGTTATAGAATTTTTACTTTGGTTTTTAGGATTCACTTACTTGCTTACAGACAATATATACAGTGATATATAAATAAGACACATTTTTTTGTAATGTTAGTCCTATACAAGTTATAGTCTTTAACGGGTGCCGTGTTAGGTCGTCATGCATTCTAGTATGTATATCTTCATCTCACTGTTGACACATAAGGCATTCACAAGTGATGTCTCTTATTGCCAGTGTGCTGCTTGTCTGCCTTTGGTATTCATGCCAGATAACATTCCTTCATTTGCCTTTCAACTGTCCTCCAGATTTCCTTAGGTCGTCCAGTCTCATTTTCCCAACTTCCATCCACTGGAAAACTGCCCTTTCCAAAGTGTCAAGAGGCATTCTGTAAACATGTCCAAGCTGTCTCCATCTTCTTCCTTTAAGAATGTTTTCCAGTAAAAAACAATTTGTTTTCCTTCTCAGTACTTGTGATCTTGTTTGGCCCTAATAGTAACAGTCCTTACATTTATTGTGAAAAGTCTCTATGTATTTTCTGGCTGTCATTTTTCAACATTCACTGTTGTATAATGCTATTCAGAGGTGTTTTTATAGAAAGAAAGGTGCCAGTACTCAGTAAAAAGCATCTTAAAAAATGATGGTACTCATCACAAAGTGCCTACTACAGCAGTATTGACAAAAATGATGCCTTAAAAAGGGTGCCAGTACTGACACAATGTACTATGATGAAAAAAAGTTGTGACTATTTATAAAATGTTGCTTTTCTATATTCTTAGTCATCTTCAACTAAGTCCATTTGACTTCCGTATATTTTGAAGCATAGCAAATGCTTGCTTTGCTTTGTTTATTCTTAATGTTACATCATTTTCAGAATTGTTATCTGGCATTCTAGTAAAAGAGTAGCATGTTTTATCTCTCTGTTTCTATTGTATAAGAATGATATTCTGCTTGTGGCATGCTTTTTAGGGTCTTTTTCTTCTTTTCTCTCTCCTGGAATGCCTCACGGTGTCAGGGCAGTTTTTTGGTGGCGGCATGCCTCTTTTCCAATCGTCAGTGTTCACCTTTGCATCACTGGAGCACACAAGGGAAATGCATATGAGAATAATACCATTCCAAAGTGGGGCTCAAGACCTCCGTTAGAAGGGTCTAAAGTAATAGATTTACTGTACTCTAATAATGTATGCCTTAAAAGGTGACTTATTAATAACTGGCTAAAATCGGATAAGTTGGCCTGAAAGGCACAGATATATCAGCGTAGCTGTAATTCCCAAAAAAAAGTGACCACATTTCTTTCAGGAATGGAAGAAGAAGAAGAAGAAGAAGAAGAAGAAGAAGAAGAAGAAGAAGAAGAAGAAGAAGAAGAAGAAAAACAAGAAAAAAAAAGAAAAAAGAAGAAGAAAAAGTAAGGAAATATTATAATCTATCATGCATGCCATAAGAGGCTAATAAGAAGTATTTGTGTGAAGCTGGCTATTTAGATCTAATTAACAAAATTTAACTGCATAATCCATCCAATCAGGAGCAAGTTCACAAATAGCTTGGTGTGAATTGGTTGATTACCTATGCTCTACTGGGAGACAAAATTTAGAAGAAAGAAGTAAAGAACTAGCTCATAACCCAGCTACAATATTGATCTGAAGTTTGATTTCCCAAGAGGGGACTCATTGACTTCGAGGCAGAGTGTGTGCAATTATGGGGAAATAAAATACTTCTGAAAATTTCTGCCATGTCCTAGGGTTATAAAGAAATTGTAATAATGAAGGCACAAACAAGAGATTGCACAATTTACCCCAAATAACGTGTTTCTGTTGTGAACTGAAATAAGGAGGAAAATAAGGTCACAAACAATTGCACAATTGATTGCCCTGTATATTTCACTGTGTTTCGTTAGATACTTGAAAAAAAAAAATCCAGAAACCATGAGTTGTTAACCCTTTGGCTCAGTCCTATGGATATCGCAACCCTTCAGCCTTGATTCCATGACAGATACGGAAAATCTGGGAGAAATGTGGCTTTTCTGCCTAACCCCTGGCGTGAACAGAGACCACAAGGAGTTCGTCACCCCGTCGCCGGGAAGTCAGGTTTAACCAACTACACTAGTGAGCCGGGTCAGATACTTGACTACAGAGTTGAACTGAGTTAAAAAATTAATTATAAAGGGACAATACACATGACAAATAAAAATCAGATGTAAACCTCAAAGCTTAATTGAAACAGATTAATAATTTAAAAATAATTATGGGAATTAACCCCCCCCCCCCCCCCAAATAAAAATAACAAAAATTAGACTAGTGGTAATGATGTTTGTACTGTTGGCAGCCATGATGACATAGTGCTATTTATCTTTATGATTCAGAGATTCTTACCTTCAGCATTATCATTTGCTGGGTATTTATTAGATGGGGAGATCTGGATTTTTTTCTCTGACTGTTTCTGCCTCTCACTTTTCTCCTGCAACAGTCGTTGTTGCTCCATCAGCCAGATCTTTTCTGCATGAAAAAAAAAATAATTACATTAACTGTTCACTGATGAATGTTTAACCCCTCATCTTTTTTTTTCCCGCCGGGCCAGTCTCTCCTCACGGGGAAACCACCCGGCTCTGAGTTTGAATGGCTCATGCCGTGATAATTACTCCCATGGGTTCGGGACCCATCCCGGCGCTTCTGGCCAGACCAAGTTCAGCAGAGCTACACTTCAATCTTAGCCTCTTTGATCTCTGTGAAGAAATAAGAGAAATTCTGGGCAACTACTAGTATCTACAGTTATAAGATAGAGGGGATTGCACTATACTGGACATGTTCTAAGGTGAGAAAAACGGAGAATAACCAAACAGGCAATGAAATGAGAAATAGGGATTGAGGAAATTAATACATCCAGGTGAAACCCTAAGCAGAACGCTGATGAGAGAGGCCAAAGGTGCTGGACTGGATTCATTCTGTAATATTGAAGTGATTGCACAGGATATAATGTAATAGAGAAACATATTGTGAGCCATATGTGACATATAATGACACAACAGGACAATGATCCTCTGCTTAACCCCCATGTTTTCTGGGGAGCAACTTTCAAACATAAATCCTCTTCTTTAGATAGCTTGTGTGGAGCAAACAGAACAGAAGTCACATCTCTCCAATCCTTTCTGACATGTGATATTTTGATAAATTTGATTTAGCTTATAATATTATTGATTGTTACCCGATTATCCTTTTCGCATATATCTTTATTTTCTTCTGTCTATCTTGTTTAAAATTTTCCATAAATAAGGCTACTTTCCCCCACCATATTTTCTGTTGTTATCTTCTTATAGACTACACCGTGTTGTGTTGAAAATAATATCTGATCACCGCCTTCTGCTTCATGTACTGTCAATTATTTGAGATACAAATGTTGTTCCATGCCACAATGCCAAAATGGGCTAGCTTTACCAATGATCTCTTGGTCTCCATTTGCTTCTCTGCTTCAACTTTCTCAAGGTCACAACATACTCCTTTTATCAGGATATGCCAGTAGAATGTATTAATTGCTATTTCTCTTCACACACACACACACACATAGACACACACAGAGGTGGGGAAGTGAGAGAGAGAGAGAAAGAAAGAGAGAGAGAGAGAAAGAAAGAAAAAAAAAAAAAAAAGAGAGAGAGAGAGAGAGAGAGAGAGAGAGAGAGAGAGAGAGAGATAGAGAGAGAGAGAGAGAGAGAAGCAATCCAGTAACAAAGCCCATCCATGTCTTACTCTTAACTGTTCATAATTGACCACTTCATTTCCGATTTTAATTGCTGCTGCCTGCAAAACAATTGTTATTTATTAATTCGAACAATAATTCTCATCACACAATTTAAAAATGAAAGTCCTACATGCTGGCAAAGTTGTTGCCGTTGTAGCTAGTCTTATTGATTTAATTTTTCCATTTGTTGCTTCTGTCATTGTAAAATGTTGCAGTTGTGTTGAATCGATTTCCCAGGGAAAAGCAGCTTATAATTTGAATTTATTGTTTGAGTAGTGTTATGTTTATCATACAGATAGTTAGTTAGTTGCCTATCATTTACAGGACGTTGCAGAACCAGTCCAACAATTTTTTGGCTGTTGTGGTTTTTCCTAGGCAAATTATACGTACAATAGTTTACCATTGCCCTTAACGGTCAGCTCTCGGTACCACTATCGAAACCAACGCAAGACAAACCGTCCGCAGTTGAGATCGAACCCGGCACCCGGCATTAAGAAGTGCGTTCGCAACGCCTTAGCCACAGACGCCAACACACAGATAGTATACATTTTATAATATTTGTTGGCACCATGTTAAAAAAAAAAATGATTTTATTTTAACAAGAAGAGAGAGAGATGGAGAATAAAGAATTTCCATGGCCATGCCAAATGCACTAATAGATTCAGACTAATAGATCAGTGGTAATTTTCATTCATAAACCAGCTGGAACACGCACCAAGAAACCAGTTCAACAAGCAGAGATAATAAACATTGTGAAATTTAAAGATAAAGAAGTTGCGGAGGAAATAGATAGAACAATCAGAATCTCTTTCAGCACGCTTTGAGAAACAAACAACATAGAAGATGAGTGACAGACTTTTAAAACCTGTATACTGAACACAGTGAAAGAGAACTGTGGTCTCAAGAAGCCAGGCACTCATAGAGAACATACAAATAGTGGAATGACAATGTTAAAATTTCTATCAAGGAAAAGAAAAAAAATGTTTTTATAAGTGACAGAAGACAAAATCAGATGAAGACTACATTAGCTATACAAGCGAAAAGAGACAGCAAAAGGAAAGTGAAAGCGGCAAAATCAGAATCTTGGGCAGACAATGGAAAACAAGTAGCAAAACTATGCACTGAGCCAACAAGAAAGTTTTACAGAAGTGTCAAAGCAATGAGACTGAGATAAGAACAGTTTAACCCCTTAACTGTTATTAACATCAAGAGTAAGAAGCCATTTACCAGCAGTCAAGATATTAAAGACAGATGGAAGGAATATTTAAGTGAGCTGTTAAACTGTGGAACACTGAAAGAAGTTAAAAAGAAAAGTTAAGATCCCCTTTCACTCCTTTTAGGCTTATCGGGTATAAGAGAGAAGCGCCCATATTTTTAAGATCATCAACACTAGGCGAGTAATGTGGTCAGCATTAAACCTCCTGTCCTTACTTCCACAGAACATCCATCCTGGTACCCATTTTAAGCTGGGACTGGTTAAAGTACCATTCCAAAATAAATTTGCAGAAGACCATGAACCAAAGATACTGGGATCTAAAGTTGAAAATGCCCTTAAACAGAGAACAAATAACAAAGCACCGGGAAAAGATGGTATTACAACAGAAATCCTCCTCGCATGTAAGACAGCAGCAACTGGTGACTCCCAGAAGGGGCCCGTGGGCCGCTGGTGTTAATGTTGTGGACTCACGTCAAATCGAGGCTAGATGTCGCCCTTTGAGATGATACCGCCTTGGAAGTATACCAACGGGTATCAGGGAGAATTATACGGACAATAGTAGTGTAATCACTAGTTAATATTCATCGTCACATTGTGTTTCGTTCAAATAAATAGATTGATGCCGGATTATAGAGATGTCTCTTCCGGTATTGTTGATGTGGTTGGCTGCTGACTGTTATAGGTGTTAGTTGTACGATTTGACTTTGTGAACTGGGTTAGTTAAGCACTCTCCGGTAGTGAACACAATTTAGTCGTGATTCGATTTGGGAACTTTTGCATTTTTATGAGTGAAGCATTAATCAATCACCTCTAGACACTCGGCAAGTAGGCGGTGCCTTACAAACATTCTCTTCATAACAAGGAGGCAGACGCCATTACTAGTTCGCTGCCACAGAGATTCTCCAGCCCCCACCCCCTTTCCCAAAAAACCCACCCATTTGTACTAGAAGATCCCCATGTGGGTTCAGGAGCACCATTGTGGGGAAAACAAAAATGGACTCTCTGAATACCCAACAAGCATGTAATAATTAGGGACTTCCTTCGAAGTCGGAGTGCATCTGCCCGAGCGGCAAGGGACAAGCCAGTAAAACGGATGTACACAAGAATACACAGCCAAAGTCCAAATGGACGGAGAAACAGGACCTTCCATTGGAGCCTACAAATGGATATCAGGTAAAGACATAGGAAGCTGGTGTAATATCGACCACACCACCCACTGAGTGCGGATTGGTCTATAAAATATAGGTCTAGCAATATATATCCGATCCGCCCTAAAATCCTTTACTTTACTTTTAGTTTACTAAGCAATCAGCGTATGGTGATTTGGTTCTTTAATAATATCTTACCACAGATGACGTCGCAGGACAGTTCAACATTTTAGAGGGTGGGAAGACTGGGTTTCCCCGCTTTCTGACGCTTTTAACGACCCAAAACATCTAGAACTGGCCCATACCCAACCCAACTACGTCCCATGAGAGAGTGCAGTCTATCTACCACCCCTTGAAATATTAAACTGTCCCGTGACCTGTGGTTTTTTCCCTGTTTGGGGTAGGATATTAATAAAGCACCGATGAATTAGACGGTACATGAAGTGTAAAACTGTTAAAAATACCTTTCTGCTCAATTTCCTCCTGAAAGCACTTGCTCCTCCTATCTACCCTGATGTGGATGCGGTTGACACAGGCCACCCTGTGCAGCTCGCAATGGGATGCGTACTGGAAGCCGTCAGAGCCACACACGGGTTTGTGATGACCAGCACACATGCTTGCCGTGAAGCACCTGCAGACTCCGATGACGCAAGTGCGTCCAGCTCGGCACTCACTGTCCACCTTGCAGAACTCTGAAAGAAACACCAAAATGTTAAACACCTTTCACGGGCGCTGAGGGCGCTGGAATCCGAGGGCGCTGGAACGTGCGCTTAGGTACCTCGAGGTGACCCCATCCATTTCCACACAGCAAAAAATATATTAAGAAAGGGGCGCTGAGCTCTCGTATAAAATTTTGCATGGTAACTAAATGGCTTGTTTAATCATGAAGTGAGGTTCTCTTTTTTAATTATTTGTTTATACGTGCCATATTATTATTTCACGTATCTATTTTATATTTACTTGCCACTTAGCACGTTATGTTATAATATTATTGTTATTATTACTAACTTAAATAAGGCTCCGTGCCCCTGAAACGCCCTCGAAAATTGCATTTTATCGGGCTCCCTAGCATTTGTAGCCAATACAGAACAATGATTTTTGTAAAAGTGAATATGGAAGTAATAGATAATTTGTACAGGAAATGCTCGTCGCGTAGAAGAAAAAGTGTAAAAAGATGAACAGAATGCAGGATACCACTGGAACTGATCAATTTTTGAATCAATTAAATCTCTCATTATTTTGAAGTTGCAAGGCAAATCTCCAGGGCAGTGATTCTCAAACGATGTGCTGCGGTGCCCGGGGAGCCGCGGCCTCTTCACAGGGGCGCCGCGTAATTTTCGAAAAAATTTTTTTTGTTCAACCTCTTACATACAATAGAAAGGTCATACTTTTACTTAGGTTAGGGCGCCGTAGGAAAATTTTAAATAAAAAAAGGCGCCGCGACTAAGAAAAGTTTGGGAAACACTGCTCTAGGGAAAATTATTTCGATGGGAAAATTTGTGTCGGGTGGTCTACTACACTAGGTTAAGTTAGTTGCTTACTGTTCACAAGACGTTGCAGAACCGAGTTTTTGAGTGTGTTGTTTGGCTGCTGCGGCTTTTCCAAGCAAATTTTACGTTCAGTAGTCTGCCAGTCTGTCGGCGTCTGTGGCTTAGGTGTTGCGAACGCGCTTCGTAATGCCGGGTTTGATCCCAGCTGCGGGCCCTGCGCCTTGCGCTGGTTTTGACAGTGGTATTGAGAAGCCCACCGTCCAAAAAAAAGGAATGGCAAACTACTGGACGTAAATTGGCCTAAAAAAAACCACAACAGCAACAAAATGCTGGGGTTGGTTATGCAAATTCCTATAAAGAATATATAAGTAAAAAAAAAAAGTCTGCCAGCGCTTACTAAACCGTCTGCTCTCAGTGCTACTGTTAAAGCCAACGCTGGACGGTCTGTTGCCAAATTGCTTGCAGCTGGGATCGAACCCGGCGCCCCGGCATTACGAAGTGCGTTTTTCAACGCCTAAGCCACAAACACTGATGGACTATTATACTATGAGTTTATGCAGCCACCAATATTGTTAAAGTTAAAAAAAAAAATGGCTAAGGACCCTTATTTCTAGTGGTGAATAAAGCAAATGATAGTATTTTTTTTTAAAGACTAACCAGCATTCAACTGGTGAGGTTGTCAACATCACGCTACTTTTACTTCCCAGGACACTACCTGGTACCCATTACAGCCTAGATTGACCCCGGAGCCAAAGTCAGTTTAAAAAAAAAAATTTATTCGCCTCGATACGGAATCAAACACAAGACCTTCGGGTCGGCAGACAGATGACTATCCACTGTGCATCATCTGTATGTTATATATGGTAAACGAACATAAAATTTTGATGGACTATCATAGAATTAAACAGAAATATAGAGGGCCACCCTAGACAACATAACATTCTACAGCTGTAGTTGCCGTGCCGCGAATGGAACCTGTCACCTCCAAACCACGAATGCGTCTCGCTCTGGAAACAAGTGCACTAAGACGCATGACCAACCAGGCTCCGCTTTTAAAAAAGCTGCCTTCATTGGCCATGTCTATCGGGCATCTTGAAATCCACACCAATGGAATACATATCTTAACGCGCCTCTAATGGACAACAGAGTACAGTAACACTAATCTAGCTATAATGTCGAAACAGGTCACTGAAGTAACACTGACATGAGACAGGTTACATCATCTCACTAACAAGTTGTGTGGCAAAGTCTACCGAATGATCAATAAATAAATTAATAAAGGTCAAGGCTTGAGTGGGGTCGTCCAATGCCCCACTGGGTGACAACTTGAAGATGACGAAAAAAAAAACGAACTCAAACCCCAAAGCGTTTCGAAGTTTTCACGTGTCCTGTAGTGTTTATAATATATATTCTTTTACTCACAGTGCACTTGAGTAATTTCTTGTTATTAGCTTGACTCAGTCACCCCTGTTTTGACTACTTTAATGATTCAACAACGGGTTTCGAGGTTGACTGCTAGAAGAACGGTCAAACCACTCGATCTGTAGTTCCTCAGCACATACACAGCGTAACACAAACAAACAAAATGTCGATCATTCTTATTCTTCTGTCCTTATTCCTCACTGGAGCATAGGTCCTCAACCACCTAACGCCAAGACATCATATCCGTTGCTATCGCATGCAGCTCACACTTTGTCCTAACCATCTTTTTAACTTCACCCTCTAGTTCACCCATGAGTTTTTGAGGTCTGCCTTTATTTCCGTGTCTCTGGGGGTTTTCATTGTGAATCCCTTCTAGTTATATTGCTCTGAGGTTTTCTCAAAGTTTAAGTAAAAGACACTTTTCCTCGCCTTCAGGCGTATTGATTATATAGGGCTAGACCTATATTGTATATAGACCAAACCGCCTTTACTTCCCATGGCGGTACCTGGTACCCACTCAAGGCTGGGTCGACCTGGGAGTCAAGGTCATTTTTGAAAAAAGTCCGTCCCCTGTCAGAACCAGAACCCACGACCTTCCGATCCGCAGCCGAGCGTCTAGCCGCTAGACTACGACGGCTCCTTTTTTCTCAAGTATGTCCTATCCACGGCCGACTCTATATATAGATGCCAAGAGGTCTTTGTTTTTAAAATAACTTGATTTACTGGGACTGGTTTAGTTTTCTCCACATTAGTGATTCTATCATACCATTTAATTCCCTATATTCTGTGCAAGCACTAGTAACTAAACGAAAGTAGTGTATTTGTAATAATTTCAGTTAATTCCATGTTTTCCCTCCAATACAGCAGTAAGGATTTGACAGAGTTAAATATTTTAAATTTCGTATTCGTTCTAATTTCCCAGTGCTTTGCAAACTTCTCTTGCCTTTTATATTCGCATTTAAACATCGCTATAAGATCCCGTATCTCAGCCTTCATCAATGCCCAAATAGGTGTATGACTCCACATCTTGAAGCCGGATATCATTAAGAGAAATTGAAGTATAGTTACTTTAATTATCTTTATAGTTATCTAATGGATTTTTAGACCTAATTATTGTGAGCTCTTATGAATTACGCTTAACTGATCTTGCCTCTGATTTCGCCTGTGAGATAGACAATGACATCCGTCCAGATCCTCATGATGTTTTGTACGGGTCCATTGCGTTTCATTGCTGGTGGTAGATTTTACTGTCTTCACAACCCAGTCTATTGCCATTGAAAATAACAGAGGCGTCAAAATGCATCTATTTTGCACACCTTTTTCTCTTTCAAATGTACCCTATAGTTTTTCTAATGGAAAAACTCAACATTTCACGCCTACGCTAAACATTAGTGTTATAATATGCCATCAGAGATACATGATCACAACAATAAAAAATTATTCCTGGCAAACTTTCAAATTATTCTCAAAACGTCGCCAAGAACAAAGACAATCTTTGCTATTACTATAATTCAGTACTTCTCACAGAAACACAAAAGAGGACACAGTGCCACCCTCGAACACAAGAGCTCAAATCTACAGTAATGAGTTTTCCCTACACCAGATATTGACTCAGGAAAAAAAATGGGGTGGAGTGGGGGAGGGGGGGAGGGGGGGGGAAGGAGTTCGCCTAAAGGTTTTGCTGATGACTTTCTACCCCACCAGGACATCACACAAGCGATAAACATCCGATGACACAATGTGCCACCATGTGGATGAAGATCCCCGTGGAGAGGTCCCAGAAACAGGCCGGCCTATATCGCGGCCCCTGGCAAGAGCCAGAGAAGGGCTTCAAATAACGAACAATTTCACCCTAAAAAGGACGGGAAGTAATTAGCATGAAGGTTTTGCTTGCAGCTTCAAATTAATAAGAGACCACTGATTCCAAAATTGATCAGTCCCAGTGTTATCCTGGTTTCTTGTCACCCAGTCGCCCTTATTTTAAACGATGGGCAGAGCAATGTGACAAAATACAAGGGAAGACGCACAAACTACTTTAGCCACAATTTCATATTCCTGTGATGCCATTTTAATTTGGACTCATCAACTCCATCTCCCCTCGGGGTTGAGGCAAGATCGCTGCAGACACAAGATGAAGCCAGAGACAATTTATAACCTTTCTCTTTACACAGAGACAATTTATAACTTTTTTCTTTGAACGAAGTACTTTTTTTTTTTTTTTTTTGGTAAGATAAAAAAAAGTCAAAAATTTAAAAAAAATCTATATTTGAAAAAAAAAAGGGGGGGGGGGGGGTGGTTTCATGTGTACGTTACCGGACACCACTGGGGGTGGGGTGGTAGTGCGGGGGGGGGGGGGGGTTGATAGACCCACTATTCCCCCAACAAGCATGTCATAAAAGGCGACAAATCAGAGGTTTGTTGAAATCTGATGTGTTGGACTTAAACGTGATACCTCAGTCTAACTGTAAATTACAACACAATGTCCCACTTTGAGAGCGAATGTACCCGTGCTGGTACCGGGATCCATTTCGGAGAATAGAAAAAAAAGAGCCCCAATACCCCTTTTTTTTTCTTCTCTAAAACATCTCGTAGGAGGTGGCTAATTAGGGGTTTTACTTAAAAGTCGGAATGCATCTGCGTGAGAGGTAGGAAACCAATAGTTTGCATACAAATAAACAAGATCTGTAAAACTAATCTACACGC